TGACAGAAGATATGATAAATGTTTAAAGTGAGCATCTTATGTTATAAACAGTATTGATGCTAGTATGTGGTTTGGTGGCCCTTCAAAATAACTCTGCAATCATTTGATCATTCTTACTGCACTTACATGTTTAAGAAAATGTATACCTTTTCAGGAAGAGGAGATGAGGCAATACTGTGCTCTGCTCTGCAACTGGTACAGATGATGCTGTAAATGAGGCTGTAATTTACTTTCAGTGGTAAAAAGGAAAAAAATCACTTTGCCTAAAGTGTATGCATCTTTCTTAAGGGCGTACCCAGATTTTAATTATCTAAATGTAAATACTTAACGAATTTTACTTAGAGTAATGAGCTAAAGTGCACACTACATAAATGAGATGTTCTAATTAATCATGTATGAACTACTGGTTTAAAGAAAAGCTATGTGAATTCTGCGAATGTTGGGCTATTGCCAAATTGCTAATCAGCATTTGCATTCATAGATGACTTCACTTAATAAGTTGTGAGACATTCAGCAAATGTTTTAGGAAATTATGAGTTTTTAGAAGCAGAAACTTTTTGCTTTTAACCCTTGTTTTTAACACAACCCTGTGGCTGCTTAGAAACCATAGGCAGACATTCATTCTGGGAGACATTAAAATACAACCAGAGAAAAACTGAGAGTCAGAGAACTGGGGAAAAAAAACAAAAACTCAGGTATCACTCACACAGGAGACTAAGATGATCTATCAAGACATACACTCTGTCATAGACATACGTTGCCATAACGTGTGAACTAGATTTGTAGGAATTAGCATTGTTACCTGTGCAGATTAGAAATACCCTGGTATAGCAGTTCTCAAACTTTTGGTTTAAGAACTTGAATTCTTAAAAATTATTGGAGATCTAAGAGCTTTTGTTCAGTGGATTATATCTATCAATGTATTATAATAGAAATTAAAACAGAACAAATTAAAGTATGTATTAATGTAAAAAACAGTAATGAACCATTATCTGTTTAATATAATATTTTTTTAAAACTTGCATTTATTAAAAAAACACCTCAACATTTAGAAGAATGTCACTGCTTTTACATTTTTGCAAAATTTTGTCATGTTGGGCTTAATAGAAGTCACCTGGATTCTTAAATGTCTTTCTGTGGTCAGTCTCCTTTCCTGTGGTTGAAGTATATGAAGAACACCTGTCCTCACACAAATATGTTATTGGAAAAGGGAGGGGTGTATTGAAAGCCTTTTAAAATACTTATGGATATTGTTCTATTGTATTATGCCAAAACTTGACAAGTTGTAGTATTCTAAATATTAGCTATCATGAGTCTGAAATCATACCAACTTTTTGTACTCAGTTCCTTTAAAATCTATTGGTCTAGTGTACACTTTGAATGGATCTTCTACTTATGCATATTTTTGTAACATCATGCATTGATCATTTGAAAAATAATGGTTCTCTGAATTATGTACATTTTCCAATGTTAACACCTTATATAACATCAAAATGTCATATTTATTAATATCAACACCAGATTAATCACAAAGTCTGCTAGGAAACTATCAAGCTCAAGGTAGTAGATGCAGGTTTTCCAGAATTTCACCATTGGCACAACTACTGTCAGCTATTTTCCTTGATGTGACAAGCATGCTTGGTTCATTTTTGAGAAAATATCTACCAAATACCCAAATCAGAATAATTATAATAATTTGTCGATTTTACTTTCAAATAAAAATGGTATTCCATGAAATAGACAACATCAACTCACAACTTAAACAATCACACGAGAGCTTTTTCTCAAGACAACCATCCTTTGATAAGCAGTTGAAGTGCTTTTGGTATGCTTCCCATTTTATCAAACAGAATGTTAAAGATGTAGTCAAAGACTTGAGATGTAATGAAATGGATAGTTTCTCTTGTTTATCAAGACATTTCTAAGTGAAACTGCCTTCTGTGGGTGTGGTGGGGGTGTGTGTGTGAATGTATGGTAGTAAAGAATAAAAAGGAACATCAAAGATTACTTAGTATACTATTTCCCAGAGAATTTTTCTTAGTATGTTGGTCCACAAGGTGCTATAGAGCTGTGCTGTCCAGTGTGGTTGCCACTAGTCATAAAAAGCTGTTGAGTCCTTGAAATCTAGCTCATCTGGAATGAGATGTGCTTTTGTAAATATAAAATATATCTGAGTTTCAAAGTGTGTGAAAAAAAAAAGAACATATCTCATTAGCAGTTTTCTAAAGATACTATTATGTGTTGAAATGTTAATATTTTTCATATATTGGGTTAAATAAAATATGTTGTTAAAATTGGGCTTCCCTGGTGGCTGAGTGGTGAAGAATCTGCCTGCAATGCAGGAGACCAGGGTTTGATCCCTGGGTTGGGAAGATCCCCTGGAGAAGGAAATGGCAACCCCATCCAGTATTCTTGCCTGGGAAATGCCATGGACAGGAATCTGGCGGGGTACAATCCATGGGATTGAGAAAGAGTTGGACATGACTAAGTGACTAAACTACCCCCACATTGTTAAAATTAATGGCACCTGATTTTTATTTTTTAATGTGGCTATTAGAAAAATTATAATTTCATATGTGAAAAATAAAACAAACACATTTGGAAAATAGTCAATGCAATAGCAAAAACATTAAATGACCAAAAAAATTTTTTTCTTATGTGGCTCACAATATTCTTTTAGGCAGCACTGCTCTAGATAAAAGAGGTTTTGTGACCAAATTTATTTGGTCAAAGTTGGATACACCATTCTCCCTTGAAGATTTATGATGATGCATGTTGGCATATTGAAAGTACTGAAGAATCCTGCCCCTCCCCCCAAAATTTTAAATTATGGTTAACCGCCCATTTCCCAAACATACTGTATTAACATTTTCTAGAACTAACTTATAAAAGTCTATATCCAAATTTTCTGATTTTAATTTGCTATTCTAGTTTGCTTTTCTTCATTTTACTAATAAGAAAACTGAAGACTGGAGTTTATCAAATTATATAATTTAAAATTATATGAACATCTCTTTTGAGAAAGTACCAGAAAAAAATTATATCTATATTTCTTGGCAGGATGACCACTTATTTTCTCAGCTTGGCACAAGATAGTCTATGTTGATAATATAGTGGGGAAAATCTTAAATTTACTTCTCTTTACTATGGTTTCCTTAAAGATGGAAAGAACTTCCACTTGCAAAGCTACAAAGTTCCTTAATGTTTTACTGTCCCATAACTCCAGACAATAATTTTTAGCCTTTTAAAATTATAGACTGGCTAAGAATCTGAAACAAGAAGAAAAACCCCACAGGTTGTCCCCTCAGGAAAGAGAAATGTGCATACGACTTGAATAAGATTTGAGGGAGCATCATGGACACTCTAGACCTCTCCATGGAGTGCAGGTTAAAAATTTGTCAGTTATAAAGGTTCGTCAGGGATAATGTATTTATAGATATTAATCAACATTACTCTTGAATTGTAATACAAAACCCCACCAATCCATAGGTGGCTATTGATTGCCTACCATGTATTCTGTGCAAATCCATACTCTGAAGAATCCCAGAATCACCACTTTAAGGGAACTTTAAATTTCTTAAAACTTATACGTGCTTAAAACATAAAAACTTTAACTGGTAAGCAAGACTCATTTTACCTCACCTTAGAAATATTTATATAAAAGCTCTGCTTAAAGTAACTGAAACAGTGTCCTTAAAAGTTAATTCTCTCATGAGCAGTTAGAAAAACCATCCTGTTCTATATGTTCAGGATGTCTGTAGGGAAATTATGTTATTAATTATTATATAATGTTATATCTTCAAAATATGTCTTGCCATGATCAATGATTGTTCTGTTTGCTTACCCTACTAAGCAGCCATGCAATAAGATGCAGAATCTCCTTTGTTTTAAAAACAAACAAACAAAAAATACTAGAATGTATCATTTTTATGCAGAGATATAGACAGATGCTTTATTCACCAAGGTGATACTGGATATCTGTGGAGGCCCAGTTACATGGTTTTATAGATCTAAAGAATATAGGTGAGCTGAAAGAGACAGGGACAGGATTTTTAACTAGAAGTTTGAGACCCACATCTGATCCTTATTTTCCTGCTGCCCCTTCCTTGAGGAGTTGAGCTGCTTTATCCCTCTTTCAGAAATCGTGTAGATCCACAAATAAGGCCCACACCACAGCTATGTTATACTAGGATGTTAGCATGGCATCCAAGGCCCTTTATGTGCCAGTGCAAATCTCAACTCCCTCTTCTCCTGTACCCTCTTCTCTGTCTCTCTGAACTAGCTTCATACCATTATTTCCAGGGTTGTTTTTTTTTTTTTTTCTCTTGTGCCTGGAATTCCTCTTGATTTCCACCTATATTCCACTTTGCAAAAATCTTACCCATTCTTTAAAGCCCTGATTTCACTTTTTGCCGTGAAGTGATCTTTGTTTCCCAATGAGAATACTTACTCTTTGGAACTTAGGAAACACTTTTCCTGTGATGCTTTGCATGGCCTGCCTTGTTTAAGAATTCATTTTTATATATTTTATTGCACTGAAAGTTAGATCCACATCTTGCTCATTTATGTGTCCCTTCACTGTGTTTGGAAGAGTTTGAACTTCATAGTGTTTCAGTAAATATTTGTTGAGTAATTGTAAAACCCCAGAGGAAATAGGAGGTGCTTAGTGTTAACATATAACATATATCTGTACTTACATATAGAAATTGGTACAGAGCATCCTCCAGTGGGAAAAGCTCATTTTGAAAGTGGGCTGAAGGTGGTAGGAAGGGCAGTTGAGTGCTGTTTCCCTTACATGCCTGGCCATTCATAGATCCAGAGTCCTCATGCCCTTGTCTAGTTATCACTGCCATTTCACAAGTGTCTTAGTTTTCATTTTACCTAATACATAATGCTATTGGTGGTTGCACATGAGGTAGAAATTCAGATGAGTTAATGTCTGAGTGTGATACTATAAAATGCCAGATTCCTAAGGAGTGATTTTTTTTTTCCCCTTACAGGCATGTAATGAATTCACTACACACGTGATGAACCTTCTCCGAGAGCAGAGTAGAACACGTCCCATTTCCCCAAAAGAGATTGAAAGAATGGTGGGCATCATCCATCGAAAATTTAGTTCCATTCAGATGCAGCTCAAACAAAGTACTTGTGAAGCAGTTATGATTTTAAGATCAAGGTTCCTTGATGCCAGGTATGTGAGGCCCAAATCCATTGCATGGCTTTTTTTTTTTTCCTTTTCACTCCTTGTATATTATTTTATGTAATTCTGGCTAGTTGGTCTTAGATTCTTCTTTAATTTGGCTATGAGAGCCCTTCTCTACAATGAATAGGTAATTCAGCTCATGGTGCCTGCAGTGTCAAGCCTCATCTTGTCTGGGGGTGGTAGTGCTATTAGCTGCCAATTTGGTGACTCAATTTGGACTTCCCTCAGATGATAAAGAGTCTACCTGCAATGCAGGAGACCTGGGCTCGATCCCTGGATTGGGAAGTTCCCCTGGAGAAAGGAATGGCTACCCACTCCAGTATTCTTGCCTGGAGAATTCCATGGACAGAGGAACCTGGCAGGCTATACTCCATGGGGTCGCAGAGTTGAACCCAATTAACACTTCACTTAATGGTGTCTCAGGAAACAAATAGTGTTAGTGCTGCTAATAATGACTTAGTAATATGTAGCCTTTTAACTCTGATGCTAAAAAGTATTTTTAAGGATAACATTCAGTATGTAACTTTGTTTTAATGCAGGTTTGTTTTCTAAGAATTTCTTAATATTATGTTGCTTGTGCATATTAGAAGAAAATCCTTCAAGACACAGGTACACTTCTAAGGAGAAGTGGTATTTTAGTTACCACAAAACCCCAAACTCTGTTTTCCAAATCTGGAGGAAAGCTTCTGAGTTTCTCCTGTAGGGATACATAGTTTCCTTTTATCTGAAGCTTTCACCAATTTTCACAGGAGCTAGGTAATAAATTGCATATGATGTGTTAGACCTACTGGGTGACATAACAGAAACTGTTAAGTTCCTACTCTATGCTGCCTCTACAGGAAAGCCTCTTGGGCATTGCTAAAGCTTGCAATCAGTCTTCAACATTGTAAAGGGGTTTCTATTTTATTTTGCTTTCTCTCCCTTGGAATTTCACAGAGGTGATAAATATTGTCCAGATTTCACAATATTAAAGAAAATAGCTAAATTAGCATCTCAACTGGAAAATAAGATGTGAGGAACAGTCTTCATGCCAGAGCTCTTCCCTGAAGCCAGATAGGAAACATGCCACCTGATTATGCTCCTGTTCTATCATCTTTGGTTCCTTCTTCCATACTGAATTAGTCACTAGGACTCACCAGTGCTTTGTTTTCAGGATTTCTTGTATTAGCTCTTTTTTTCCATCCAAACTTGCACTGCTCAGTTCATGTTCATCCTTTTGTACCTGGGCTAACACAGTACTGTCCCACTGTACTTTTCTTCTGCTCATCCTCCAAGGCCCTTTTATGATGGACTCATTGATTTACTTAAAAACCACAGTAGTTTTTCAATGTTGGATAACACATGCACACAACTTAACCTGGCATTTGAGGCCTTCTGTGACCTGTCCTGGCCCAGATTACTTCTTTGTTGTTGTTACGATTTAAGTTTTATTTCTTATTTTTCCTACTTAACAAATACCAAGCTCACTATGAAAAATTTGGAAAACATGTAGACAGAAGGATGAGTGATTAAAGACAATCATGTTTTTACTACCCAATGGGGAAAAAAAAGTCACTGTAAATGTTTTAATATCTTCCTTTCTGGTTTGTGGTACTTTTTTTGTTTCATGTTCTTGTGATGGTACAATATGCATAATTTAGTTTGCTTTTTAAAAAACTTACCATGAATAGGCAAACTTTTTTCATATAGAATAAACTATTTTAAATGTTAATTGTTGAAGTCTACCAGATGGATATATGATAAATAATTAACTTAGACATTTTTCCATTTTTGAGCATTTAAGTTGCTCCTATTAATTTCCATGATAACTTCTTCCTTCCAATTCCTTTCTTCTTTCCTTCTATAAATATTTATTTGTGCTGAGGATATAAAAAGGTGAACAAGATTGGTTAATGTACTTGCCCCAGTTGAGTTTACATTCTACCTGGGGAAATAGGCAATAAACAAGTAAACAAATATGCTGTAATATTTTGCTCAATAATGTAGTGAAATATGTTAGAATGGTAAATGCTGTGAGGAAAAAGAAAAGCAAGGTAAAGGGAGAGAAAATGATGGACAGAAGGTACTGTTTTAGATAGATTTTTATTGCAATTAGTCTTTCAGTAAAAATCTTTATGCTTTCAACCTTTGTGATCTTTAGAATTATTTCCTAAGGATTAATTCTCAGAAATGGTATTATTAGATCAAAATGTAAACATTTTTAGTGCTCTTAATATATCACTAAATTGTTCTTTCCTCTATTTAATCCAAAATGAAATACCTCTTGGTCTCAGCTATTTCCTCTGACTAGAATTCTTTCTTTTCCTCTGCCTAACCACCTCTTCTACTACCACCCCTCAAGTCCTATCCCTAGCCTTCCACAGTAAGTCATATTCTCTCAACCATTTCCCCAACTTGGCCACCAGTAATGAGTTGTCGTCTGTGAGGGTGTCTAGCATGGAGCCTGGAATGGAGGCAACACTCATGTTTGTTGATTTAGTGAGACTTTGCTCATCTTTCCAGGCCTGGCCTAAATGGTCCCTTTTAGAAAGCCCACTTTAATCCTGCCGCTGGACTGGTCCATGCCTTCTCGTGAACACTGATACTGTGTTGATACCATTCTCCAGACCAAACTTCGTTCAGGCTGCCTTTACTGTAGCTTTCATGATCATTTCTTCTCTTCCCGAGTAAGTCACATGGTTACTGACAGCAATGGCCAGGTCTTATACATATCCATTCCCCACAATTCCAGTGTCTTATAGTGTAACAGACTGCAAAAAATTCTTTATTGACTAACCAGATGAATGAATAATTCCACTTACTACTTAGAATAGCTCAGAGCATTAAGGAAGTAGCAATTAGGAAACCAAAACCATTCTTAAATTGTCAACATTGAGCATTTTAATGAAAAGTATTATATAACAAAAATATTTAAAAAGTACTTTCTTCAGAGGAAGGAGACATATATAGACACCTATGACTGATTCATGTTGATGTACAGCAGAAACCAATACAATATTGTAAAGTAATTATCCTCTAATTAAAAATAAAATTTGTTTAAAAAGTACTCTCTTCAGAAAGAAATCTTTCCCAACACAACTGCTGTTCTTATTTCTACAGAAAGTTCCCCATTCTTGCCAACATGCATGCTTTTTTTTCTTCTTCACATAACTGCATTCATAATGTATACACCTAAATGATTTATACTTCTTCCAAGAAGAGAAAGGAAGTTAACAAGCCGGAGTGAGCAGAGCCAGGGTGAGGCCGTGGCAGAGCTTGAAGCGGAGTCCCTTCTCCCACAGAGACTGCCGTTAGGAATGTTGTAAGGCCTATGGGACACAGCCCCTGGACGGAGTCACCGCTGCACGCTGGCCTGAGGCACAGCCATTTAGAGAGTGGTGAAGCCTGGGGGGAACGAAACTTAGGGGAAATGCTTAATGGGCATTTTCTAAAGAATGTTTTTCTAAAAAATAAATGAAGTATAAGACGGAGTTCTCTCTTACGCCTTCGAGTGAATGCAAATACTGAGCTTTGCTTCCATCTATTCTTGTAGTGCCTCTCAGCAAGCCCTCTGCACTGAGAAGGCAAGGTTTTTCTGCTCCAGGCAAACATGCTCATTCAGATATATGATCCCCTTGCTCACCCTGGCTTTTTGTAAAGCCATACTCACATTTTCTTCGTAATTGGACAAGCCGACGCATGTACCGGTGTAGAACAGTTAGGAATAAATTTGTGTCGGTCCCTCTACTCTTCTAGTAAAAGGGCTATAGTTTGGATGCAGCCAGACGGTCTGGGGTGAGTTATTCTTTTCTGCCTATAAATTTGTTCTCTGAGGTTTTTTTTGTGTTTTCTAAAATCAACCACTCCTAGGTGATGTCGATAAACGAGCCAAACTTATCTTTACTTTCCCAATATGTTTCTGCTCATTCCTCCTTTCATAAGTCTTCATTTCGCAAAGCAATGTCCGTGTGATTCGCTCCACCATACCCGGTCTTGCTGCTGGATCCCATGTTTTACACTGAGTCACAAGCTCACATACTTACATGTGATGGAATTGAGTGGAGTGGCTAGATGAGGGGCAGTGAGGATTAGAGCAAATGGATGCACATCTGAGGGAACAGCCACCACTTAGCTGGCTGCCTTCTGAGAATGTGAGCCTGGTGTGACTGATCTTCCAAGTTTTCATAGGCAGCCAGAAACCTTTACAAGCAGGTCATTACTGTACTGTCTCAACAAGCATTATCTGTGAGCCAGGTAATTACTTTTAGGTTTGACAGTTTAAGTATCTATTCTAGACCTCTTCTACCCTACACACCCACTCACCCACTCATCAGACTGTGCCTCTTGAAGGCCCCAGGAAAGGGCTTTGTTTTTCTTGTCAACAATGCATGACTCCTGTAGAAATGCTGATTGCTCTTCTTGGTGTACGTTTCTTTTCACCCGTGTCTTCCCTCACCGCCTCCCCCATCCAGCTCATCATCAAATCCTGTTGATTTTAATCCCCAAATAGATTTTGACTCTCTTCTTCATCCCTCAGGAAACAATGGTTTAACCTTCCAAAAAATTATTGAAATTAAGAAATTTCAGGTCTCATAACTTGAGATGTTTTGATCAGACCTAGATTTCTTGCTCCCTTGACTCTCCCTTAATGTTGAAACAGAGATCACATACTTAACCTGCCATGTTAGTGCCATCATTTTAACTAGAAGAATCTTGTAGGGTATGCACATTTACAACTGCCTACTGATGCTGTCTTTCCTGAGTATATGCTATCACAATTAAGATCATTAAGATTATTTGTAAGACAATATTAGGAAAATTATTTGGGAAAAGTGTTTTCCAGTTACTGGAGAATTTAATTTAAAGTGAAATCTGACAGATGCTCATTTTCTTGCTGGAATTCTTTAAAATCTTAATAATAAGACCCAAATATAAATGACATTTTTGCTATTTAAAATACATTGTGAGCAAATACTTGGTCTTCTGACATTCTGCCACCCCCTCCCAATAAAAATAAATAACTTGTCTTCCCTTAGTTTTTGCCTGGTGAGCAAATCATACCTGGGACCAGGCAGTTACTTAAGAAGAAAAATCCAGAAACTTTTTTTCCCCTTACCTTCTTTCTCTGTATTCCCTCACTCACTCCCCCCATCCAATTTATTATCAAGTCCTATTGCTTTTATTTTTCAAACAGCTTGAGTCTTTTTATTTCCATTACTCTCACCCTGTTGCCAAGTTATAATCATCTCTCAATTTGACCATTGCTGTTGTCTCTTTAAATATCTCTACACTTCCTTTCATGCCCTCCTCCAGCTATTCTCAGTAGTCACAATGATCTTTTTAAAATGTAAAACTTAAAACCTTAAATAGCTTCCTATTGCACTTAAAATAAAATTCAAATATCCATAGAGGGTCCACTAAGCCTGTATAATCTGGCCCCTGTCCATCCTTCCAGACTCATCTCACGTATTTCCTGATTTTTTACTGTGCTCCAGCCTCCTCTAGCCCTTTAGACTGGCCAAGCTTTTTTCCTGTTTGAAGACCATTGCCTCTGCTTATTTCTCTTCCTTCTACTCTTTGTCTGACTTAAGTCATACACACTCTCCAGGTCTCAGATTAAATGTCACTCCTTTTTTTTTTTTTTTTAATTTTTTTCATTTATTTTTATTAGTTGGAGGCTAATTACTTTACATCATTGCAGTGGTTTTTGTCATACATTGAAATGAATTAGCCATGGAAAATGTCACTCCTTTAAGGACACCCTTCCCAACTCCATAATCTGTGTTAGGTTTCCTTCTTAGACACTTTCATTATACTTAATACTTTTTCTTCATGGTACTTGACATGATCACCGTAATTTATAAGTATTTATTTCTGTGGTGCTTATCTAATGTCTTTCTTTTCCTAACTCTCTAATCTCCTATAAACTTCCCTAGTAGCCCTTATCTGTTTTGTTCCAACTGTATCTTTATTGAATATCTAGAACACATTAGATCCTCAATAAGTATTTGTTGAATAAAGAGTGAAGTGATTGTGCTTCACATTCTAGTGTTTTTCTTAGTTATCCTACATCTTAATGTGAATTGGATAGTTCTCTGGCGAATGCCAAGAGTATAATTTACAATATCATGATGATACATGAGACCCTGAGAATGTTAAAAAATAGAAATCTAACATTTTTTGTATAATCCTAAGTAATATATCCCTGTTTAGTTAATGTGGATTATAACTACAATTCTCTTTTTGGTTCCTTCCTAGACGAAAAAGGCGTAACTTCAGTAAACAGGCCACAGAAATCTTGAATGAATATTTTTACTCACACCTCAGCAACCCCTACCCCAGTGAAGAAGCCAAAGAGGAGCTGGCCAAGAAGTGCAGCATCACAGTGTCCCAGGTGAGAGGGGTGCCGTACGCATGTCTTGGTCCTCCATTGATTGTAGGAACCCTGCTTTTCTCCTCAGGGTGGTTTTATCAAACTTCATATCCAAATGTTTCATCATCAAAGAAGAGATAAGGAAAACAGAGATAATTCCACATTTTTATGCCAGCTTTTAAAGCTTAGATGATTTCTTTTCACCCTAAATGTCAAGGAATCAAAATGATCCCCGCTTCCCTAGCGTACATCTTCTATAGAAAGAACAGAAACATACCTCGGGGAGTGATGTGGTTTACACTCATATGACTCTTTGGTAAACAGCATGTAGTCTCGCTTTCCCAATTTAGATGACTGGTCTAAGCTTCTACCAGTGAGAAACCAATGTATTTGTTGTCAAAAGGAAGTTTCATATAGCTCTATGATGAAAGCTTTGAGGAGTTCTCCAAGTCCTTTCTTGATAACCATGCTATGATATTTGGGTTTCAAAGATTTCTTTGCTTTTTTGTTATCTATGAAATAGAAGAATTAAATTCATGCCTATCCCTGCTTTTGTTGTTATTTTTTTAAATGTCTATTTGTAATAAATCATGCCCTGGAAGTTACCTTTCATCTTCTAACAAAAATACACTTAATTTTAGGCAGATAGACTTGTTTTATTTTTAATGTATTTGGCTGCATCAGGTGTTAGTTGCAGCAAGTGGGATCTTCACTGCATCATGAAGGAAGTTTGCTTGTGACACACGGACTCTCCAGTTGTGGCATAGGCTCAATAGTTGCGGCACACGGGCCCCATTGCTCCACTAGCATGTGGGATCTTAGTTCCCCAATCAGGGACTAAACCCACTTCCCCTGCATTGGAAGGCAGATTCTTAACCACTGGACCTGCTAGGGAAATCCCAGACTTGCTTTTTAGACTGAGGGTTGGAGACAAATAAATAACCAGGTAACTGTACCTTCTTAAAAAATAAGTATATTCTATTGGCCATAGCTCTAAAATATAATTTTACTCAAGTTCTCATATTATTGTTTATAGATTATAACTTGAATAACATTTCTTTATAGCAAGCAAATGTGGTAGTCAACAACCAGTTCTTGCAGTGGCACTTATGGAAAAGCTCACTCTTGGCAGAAATTTCAGTGGTGCCTAGAAGTCATGTGACACAAATTTTAATGTAGCCTCTAAATAAATACTCATATAGGTCTGAAGTTCAAGATTCTAAAGATCCCTTTCACATTCCAGTGAAAGTTTCATATTGGTGTTTTATTTTTATTTTTATTGAAGTAGAGTTGATTTATAGTGTTGTGCCAATCTCTGCTGTACAATACAGCAAAGTGACAAGGCATTCCTTTTTTAATATTCTTGTCCATTATGGTTTATCACAGGATATTGAATATATATAGTTCCCTGTGTTATACAGTAATACCTTGCTGTTTATTCACCCTATTCATAACAGTTTACACCTGCTAATACCAACAGCTGTCTCTGACTTAGAGTTCAGATGTTTGTGGGTCCAGTTCAAATTAAGGTGTTTCATGCTTCTACTCCCTTTCTTGCTTTTCTTTTTTACTTCTATAACATATTCACCACTGGAGGTTAACACATTATATACATTTTTTGAAAATCAATATAATCCTGGTTTTTCACTGGATGTACTTGCTTCCTGTGTATGTTATGTAGGATTTGTTAACACATGCTTGTGTAACGAGTGAGAAAAGTTTCCTTCTGACTATTCTGAACTAGGGAGGTTTTGCTGTGCTTCTAAAATAGCCTAGGATCCCATTTACCTTTTTTTTCTTTTAAAAAAAACATCATTCACTACTGTATTCATTCTGTTGGTTTTTCTAAAATAGCTTAAGTTTTGGAAATTTTTTAGTAATTGCATCAGTTAGAAATAATATAGACATAGATATATTTCTTTGGCTATAAAGCAGACTTTATGATCTTTTTTCTCCCCAGTCATCTTTTCAAATGGAGAATTTCAGCAATCAGTGTAAGATTCAGTGTAAATTGTGACAATTTCCTCTCCTTTTTACTTTTTCACGCTTAAAAGTGTTATTTCCCCTCCACCATTCCCTTTTCCCCACATCTCTGATACGGAAACAGTATTATTTTCACTATTAAAGACATAAGTTGCTAGCCTTTCTCCTCCTCCCCCCACTGTGTGGCATGCAGGGTCTTAGTTGCCCAACCAGGAATTGAACCTGTGCCCCCTGCATTGGAAGCAGTCTTAACCACTGGACTGCCTGGAAAGTCCAGTCGCTAGCCTTTTTAATTAGTATCCTTTTAAGTTGTTTAATTTCTCTGTGAAAGCAGAGAATATTCCAGACCTGACAGGTGAACTAATTTCTAAAGAGAAAAAACAATGTTTTAAATATGCATCATACTAAAGTACAATTAAAGTTAGAATCCAGAAGCTGTTAATATACAAAGCTAACTTTAAAATATTGAAACCCACTGAAAATAGGCAACTATAGCAATGTTTTTTGCTAGATTTAAAGTGTATGAAATTGATTTATTCTTTATTGCTTGAAATACTTAAAATACTGCTTAAAATACTTAATAATTAGGAATAAGAAAGGAATTCTCAGAAGAAAATGTAAGGAAATATCTTTAGTACTTTGAGAATAATCTTTAAAAAGATAAAATGTGTAAGCAGCAAGGGAAAAGGTTGATAAATTCAGTGGTAGGACGTTTATCAAAGTACTTAATAAAGACTGTGAAACATCAACATGATGCAACCATTTTAGTATAGATTATATCAGGCAAGAATTATCAATAGATATTAAATCTAGGAGGATGTTTGTATGAAGGATATGGTATTAAAGTATCCTCTCCATAGGCCTTTTATTAGTTACAAGGGATATTTTTTAGAAAGGCCATATAGAGTGGAAAAATGGAATAAAACCTTGACCAGTTGATTAGAATCAACATTATCAAAGAGGGACAAATGGACATTTATATAGTATTTTTCCCTGGAATGTAACCTGAATCTAATCACTAGAAAACATCAAAACATCAGCCAAACCCATAATGAGGAATGTTCTAGCTGGAAAAAAGTGAGGAAGGAGTAGTATTCTTAAAAATATAAAAGACAGACCATGGAAATGTTCTAGATTAAGAGAAGCTAAAGAGACATGACATGTAAATGCAGTGTTTGACCCTAGACTGGATCCTCTACTGGAGGGGAAAACACCATAAAGGAATTATTTATAAATATTATAAATATTTATAAATTATTTATAATATTTACAAATTATATTACTAAAGTAAATTATAATTTGTAATTATACTGTGGTTATATAAAAGAACACCTCTAGTCTTAAGAAATACACAGTGACTCACTTAGGGGCAAGGGACCATGGTGTATATATTCAATAATTTACCCTCATGGTTCAGAGAAAAAAATGTGTGTTTATACACACACACACACACACACAAGCATGTATGTGTGTGTGTGTATGTATGTATATTGTATTGTATTGTTCAGTCTCTCAGTCAGGTCTGACTCTTTGCGACCCCATGTACTGCAGCACACCATGCCTCCAAGTCCCTCCCCATCTCCCAAAGTTTATCCTTCATACTTATGTATATCTGCTGCTAAGTCACTTCAGTCATGTCCGACCCTGTGTGACCCCATAGACGGCAGCCCACCAGGCTCCCCCATCCCTGGGATTCTCAAGGCAAGAACACTAGAGTAGGTTGCCATTTCCTTCTCCAATGCATGAAAGTGAAAAGTGAAAGTGAAGTCGCTCAATCATGTCAGACTCGTAGCAACCCGATGGACTGCAGCCTACCAGGCTCCTCCGTCCATGGGATTTTCCAGGCAAGAGAACTGGAGTGGGGTGCCATATAAACATACAAATATATATACATACACATATACACACAGCATGAGAGAGTGTGTGTGCTTGAGAGCCCAACAATGATAAAACAAATGGGGTAAAATGGTAATAACAAGTGAATCTGGGTCAAGGGGATACATACATATTCTTTACAATTTTTATTCCTGCAGCTTCCTTTGCAAGTTTGAAATTATTTCAGATAAAGCCTTTTTAAAATGTGAAGACAGTCCACAAACTGTAAGAAGACATTTGTAAGTGTATAAGCAAGAGGATTAAATCCAAAATATATAGAACTCCTATAAGTTAATAAGAAAAAGATATCTTAGTTGAAAAATAGGCAAAAAACACAGGGATTTCATAGAAGATAGTTATCAGGAATCCATGTTTTCTAAACTGCATTAAAGTAACATTTATACTTACTCAGTTCAGTTCAGTTCAGTCGTTCAATCCTGTGCAACTCTTTGCGACCCCATGAACCGCAGCACGCCAGGCCTCCCTGTCCATCACCAGCTCCCGGAGTTTACCCAAACTCATGTCCATTGAATCAGTGTTATACTTACTAGATTGGCAAAAAAAATCCTAAGACTATATAGAGTCCTGCAATTTGGTTGGTAAGTATATATGGCAGCAGGAACCCTTAAACATCATTGGTAGAAATATAAATTGGTATAACTACTTTGGAAAACTTGGCATTACCTTTGAATATACACATATCATTCAATCCATAATTTCACCTTTAAATGAAATTGCCCTGGAAAACCTTGTTGTGTATATTAGGAGATTTGTGGAAGCATTCATAGTAACATTGAAATGACAAAAAACTTGAAATAAGCCAGTTTTTCATTGACTAGAGAAGTGGATAGACCCACTGTGATATAATCCTACAATGGATTACTGTATAGCTATTAAAAATAATGATTTATAGCTACACACTATACACATCAATTTGTGTGAATTCTAGTATTAGAGTGAAAATGCAAATTGCATATATATATATATGGTAATGATATTTTTATAAAGTTAAAAACCAAGTAAATAGCACATTATTTAGGGGGTGCATGGTTAAATATAAAGAAAGAAATGAAATGATAAAAAATATTGTTGATTTGAATGGGATTGGAAAGAGATATTCAAAGAGTTCTAGTGGTATTGTTGGTTCAGTTCAGTTCAGTAGC